AGAGACCGTTTTATTAATTTTGGTTATGTTATTGAGCTAAATTTTCGAAGTTAATTGAAGTCATCTACCTCGTTTTAAATCAAAATTTGTTGAAATACTAGTAATGTAATTTGAAATCGAAAATGTCTTAATTATATACTCATGGTGTATATTCAAAATCTCATTAGTCCTTTTAAGAAAATCATAGTAAATATGGTCATTGACCTAATCTCATTGATTACACAATATTGACACTTGGAACAAAGTTGTATGCTTTGAGGTTGACATATGAATATGAATGTGCTTGGGAGAGAGAGAGATGGTGGAGGACCGGGTAGGGGTAAACCCTAGACGGCCCATTCCTCGAAATGAGAGTAATAAATGCAAAGTAGGCAGAAGGATACAGGACTTTTTTGGCAGAAACAGAAAAGATGGTCTGATGTGAGAGGTCAGAAAATGATTTTGTAATCGATTGCTTTATGATTGATGAAAAAATTCCCTTTTTTTTCTTTTTTTGAAGAACTACTCCTACTACTAGCTATTTAGTATGGAAGAGGGAGAAAGTAGCAAATTAAAGTAGAGAAAGAAAAGGACTCCCTTTACTTCCCTTCTCTCAAAGCTTTCTTTTTTATTATTTCAGCTTTTCCCTCTTTTCTTGCTGACAACAAAACAAAAGTGAAGACAAAGTAAGCCATCATGAGGCTATGATGAGTTTATATGATAATATATGCATGTGCTATTGTGCATGCATGCATGTCTTATTAAGCCTAGCTACCTAGTTCTTCGTAGCTAGCAGAATGTATAGAATTGTGCGTTTTCTTTTCTTTATCGTTTCCACCTTTATTTTCCCTTTAACATATATATACACACACACATATATATGTTAATTTGCTCAAGCTTTTTAACATCAAATTGTTTCCGATAGTATTTTCCTCAAGATCCAAGTTATAATTAAGGCGAATCCAATTATTAAAAGAGCTAAAACCCCAAAATTTATTTTCATTTTGCCAAACTTTTACACATCAAAATTAATGTCTCATTAGCATTCCAACTATTGCAATTACGAAAACTTTCTTTTTTAAATTAAATCTAATTATCAAAAAATTATTTCAACTCGAAAAATTAAAATATTAAGTGAAATTTTAAATTATGATTTATAATATTTTTTTAATATATTGTTTCAAACAAAAATTTAAACATAAAATTTATATAAATTTATGCTATTTTGTAAGCACATATAATGAGGTTTGAATTCGTTTAGTCATTAAAACTCTTATATTTTATAAAAAAAACCCTATCTAAGCTCAAGATTTGGAGATATAAATTATATTATTTTTTAATCTAAATTAACATGAAAAGCAATTTGTTTATTGAGTAGGCTGAGATCTCTGAACTTGTTTACAGTTTTTCACTGTCCTAGCCAAGGCAGTCAATATTGCAAGAAAGTCAGTATACTGGTTCATTAAAGAAGAAAGAAAGAAAGAAAGAGGAATTGTTGGTATTTTTATTTTCCTTTCTGTATGGGAGTATGTGTGTGTGACTGAGCTTTCACATCATGCTCTAGTTAAGGGGCCTGAAGAGAGAGGCTGGCATTGTCCTTCACGAAAGTCTCTGACCCTTATGGTCTGCCCCGCATTTAAAGCGGGGGTTGTGTGTCTTAGCATAAATACTGTATAGGTTTATTTATACTACCACTCCATTGGTGTGTATGTTATCTCATAAATCTCTGGGGACCCATTTGTGTCAATTTGTAGAGCCATGAGATGATACATCGAAAGTATTGTTCGTGTATGGTCTCTGTCAATTTCCATGCCACATTTTTTCAGGCTTATGAGGGATAAGAATTGAGGAGACAACGCGAAAGACAATACATAGACTTAATGCAAAGGCAACGGTGTTGTTCATATCTGCCTCAGTCTCTCTCCTATGAATGCCCTCAATTGATGAAAAGTCACAAACTTGCATAGATCAACTCAGCTAACTACTTTACCAGCGAAGAAATTAACCAACTATATATCGTGTGAAAAAACACCTAAGTACACACGAGGAGAGTTAGTCTAGCGGTCGTGTATTTGATAATTTTCTTTCAATGAAACAATATTCAAGTACTCTTAATTTATAGTTTTTCAATTACATTTATATACTTAGAAGGCCTACCTTTCATCGTGTAATGTCATGCCCATTGAACCTTCTACTTAAATAATAATAATAATAATAATAATAATAATAACTATGTTACTGTATTATTGAGAGTAAATTATAAATTAGTCCCTCTTGTTTAAAAAAAGAAGAAGAATAATTAGTCTCTTTAAAAAAAATTATTCTTACATTTTAATTTCATCAATAACTTGATTTGTTCATCGATTTTTCATTAAATTTGTAATTTTATTTCTAAATTACGTTTCTTTTGATTTGTAGCTGAGGAGAGAAAAAAAGAGTGGGTGAAAAAGAAAAATAGAGCATCAAAAGAAGAACAAATTAAAAAAAAAAAAGAAAAGAAATTGATCTAATAGAAAAATGATAAAAAGATTAAGTTATTGACGAAAGTAAAACTTAAGATATTAAATGATTAGTTTTTAAAACAAGAGGGATTAATTAATTTGTTTTTCAAAATGAGAGGGACTAATTTATAACTTACTCATAGCACAGAAGATCTTGATTTCAACTAGACGACTTCTTTGTGTTGGATTTCATATTGGATCTTTGTCTATAGGCTAGGCTACCTAAGCCCATTTGTAATTAAACAGTTTATTTCGTTTTTTTTTAAAAAAACCCAAAGGTAAACAGCTAAACTTCTTGAATTATAAAAGTTTTCTCAATTTACCTCCCTAAACTAATTTTTTTCACATACCTCAACTATTTCAACTTCAATCTAATCAAAATTCCATTGGTAAATTGAATGGTTTACGGGTAATAAAAATTTCCCACAAACTTTAAGGGAAAATTTGGGAATATATAAGAGACTTGGCTTTACATACAGATCTTAAAATTAACATGAAATTTTATTACCTTAATGGGAAAATATCAAGAACAAAATTTGAAGCAGAACTAACCATTCTAGAAGATCCAAAAAATAAAAAATAAAAAAATTGTTTAGATAATAAATTGAAAGACCCAAAGACCTCATGGTGGGTGGGGGAAGTTTCGTAGGTTACCAAAAGAAGTTGTTTGGAGGTAGTTAAGACCACTTCACATCTTGATTAAGGAAAATTTGGTGTCTAAGCAAATGTTTTCCAAAAGTAAACACAACTCTTAGGTTGGAAGGAAATCATGTAGCACAAAAAAACTAGTAAACATGCCTACAAATATTGTGGCCTTTGTCCATAAGAGCTTGGCCTAAGAAGATGGAGCTGGAACATGGCAAGGTAAATCCTCTTCATTTTTACAGGTGTAGGTTCAAGAAATGGGCTCTTTTTGGGCTCTTCTGGAAATGGTTTCTGGGCCTCTTAGGGCTTTAATCATCAAGGCCTCAATACACAAATGTCTCCATGGCCCTAATGAAAGGTTCCTTTGCCCATTAACTAAATTTCGGATAGAAGCCCATTTGATCTGCTAACCACTTTTTAGTTCAAAATTCGTATTGAGCCTCAATCCATATTAATAATCAGTTATATCTCAAATTCGAACCCAAAATGTTTACTCAAAGAGATATATATATATATATATATAAAAATATAATTTTTTACATTTAAATTTTAAGACTAGTATGTAGAGATATTTATTAAATTTTTGTTTAAACATACAAAGCCGATATAAAGTGTGCGTTTTTCAAATAATTCGAAAAGTGATTTAGTTTCAATTACTATACAAGCTTGTTCAATAATACATTTACTGTCAATTTTTTTTTTAATAATAACTTATCATCCAAAAAAAAAAAAAGTCTCAAAATCAAAAGGACTAGATCCGATCAGATCTATTTTATCATAGTTTTAATTACTATACAAGCTTGTTCAATAATGCATTCACTGTCAAAATTTTTTATTTTTTAATAATACCTTATCATCGAACCAAAATTTTTTAAAAAAAATTTCCCAAAATCAAAAGGATTAGATCCGATCGGATCTATTTTATCATATACGAAAAAGGTCAAAATCCGACCTTATCGGATAGGATCCGTTACCATCCTAGCTCGGCTTGGCCTTCGCCACTATTGCTCAAAAGTCAAACGTGAGCAAAAAGAAAACCGTTTTTGTTTTGGGCTTTTCTAAGTTGACCGGGCAACCCTAAGAAAGGCCCAAATAGGTCGGTTCACAAAGATATTTATAACTTCATACAATCATGGAACCTTGTTAAGAGCCGACCCTCAAGGGTTTTATACTCTGTCTTCACCAAAAGGAAAAAAACAGAGAACAAACTTCGTTTTCATTTGGATCTTCAATCAATCGAAGGTAAAGAATTTATCTTGTTTTCATTAACCTTGCTTAATTTTCTGTCTGTCTCCCGAGAAGTTTTGAGGAAAATAGTAGAGAAATTACCAAATTTGATTGCTTTATCGATGCTTATGAACTGGGTTCTTGCTTGTTTTTGAACATTTTCCTTCTTTTTATTTTTTGGTTGTTGGGTTTTGATTTAATTTTTTTTCTTTGTTTGATATTTTTCTTTTGAAGCTATATTAGTCTTTTTCTGGTGCTTTTGTTTAGTTGTTTATAAGCTGATTGAAGAAATTTTGACAAGACGTGTTGAAGTAAGTTTGATAAAGTTAGGAACTTGGTGGAGATTTTGAATCTTAAGTTGAAAAAACTGAGGTTTTGCCATATGTGGTTTTGAAATACTTGCAGTTTTAGCTGTTTTTGAGGTTGTTTGGTGTGTTTAGATGGTATATTAGTTTAGAGAAGTATTACAGTGATTTATGTTGTTTTGTTTTGTGGATTTGGATTACAAATTTTGTGCCTTTTGATGGAATTATAACTTCTAAAAGTTAATAGAAGTGGGAAGAGATAATTCTTCGTTTGAGTGTGTATTTTTGCTTTCCGGATGCAAAATTGTTACTGTTCTTATTGTTTGTGTTATGTTCATCAGATATGGCTGAAGAAGCAGGCATGTTTATGGTTCATCAAACAATTGGAAGTGTTTTGTGTTGCAAATGTGGTATTCCTATGCAACCAAATGCTGCTAATATGTGTGTTAAGTGTTTGCGCTCTGAAGTTGACATCACTGAAGGTTTAAAGAAGAATGCAATCCTTGTGCATTGCCCTGAGTGTGATACCTACTTGGATCCACCTAGTACGCGGATTAGGGCCCAATTAGAATCGAGGGAGTTGTTGGCATTTTGTCTGAAGAAGTTGAAGTTGAAGCCGGCAGGAGTTAATTTGGTAAATGCGGAATTTATTTGGACTGAACCACATTCCAAGAGGATCAAGCTCCGGGTGAGAGTTCAGAAGGAGGTCCTTAATGGTGCGATACTTGAACAAGCATATGTTGTTGAGTATGTTCAGCAGGAACACATGTGTGATTCTTGCACAAGAGTTCAGGCCAACCCTGATCAGTGGGTTGCAGCTGTCCAACTCCGGCAACATGTTGCTCATAGAAGAACTTTCTTTTACTTGGAGCAGCTGATTTTGAAGCATGATGCTGCTGTACGTGCCATTAAAATCAAGCAAATGGATCATGGTATTGATTTTTTCTTTGGAAATCGTAGCCATGGAGTTAAATTTGTTGAGTTTGTTGGTAAAGTAGCTCCAGTAAGGAGTCGCAGTGACAAGCAACTTGTTTCCCATGATACTAAGAGCAACAACTATAATTACAAGTATACTTTCTCTGTTGAAATCTCTCCAATTTGCCGTGAGGATTTAATCTGCTTGCCTCCAAGAGTTGCTGTTAGCTTGGGGAATCTAGGTCCGCTTGTGATATGCACGAAAGTGACAAACAGCATTGCGTTGTTAGATCCTTTCACCCTAAGACACTGCTTCTTGGATGCTGATCAGTACTGGAGAACACCCTTTAAGTCTCTTCTCACTAGCAGGCAGCTTGTGGAGTATATTGTATTTGATGTGGACTTTATTTCCCCTGAAGTTAATATTGGTGGCTCTAGATATGCTTTAGCTGATGCCCAAGTTGCTCGTGTGTCAGATTTTGGGAAGAACGATACCATATTCAACATAAAAACGCATCTGGGGCATCTTCTGAAACCTGGTGATTATGCACTTGGTTATGACTTACATGCAGCTAACAGTAATGACATGGAGCTTGACAAGTACAAAAATCTAGTCATTCCAGAAGTAATTTTGGTAAAGAAGAGCTATGAAGAGAAGCGCCAAAGGAAACGGGGGAAGCCTCGTTCCTGGAAGCTTAAGTCCCTCAATATGGAGGTTGACGAAACAACGAGAGGTAGAGGTGACCAAGAGAAGTCGAACTCAGAGTATGAACAGTTCCTGAGAGATCTGGAAGAGAACCCAGAGTTGAGATTCAATATGTCATTGTATCGTAACAAAGAATATCAGCCTTCTGAGATGGCATCTATGACTGATGGGGAAGATATGCCTTCCATTCCTCTAGAAGAGTTACTTGCTGATCTTGAGATAACTGATGCAGAAGATGAGGACGGAGACATGAGGGCATGAATCTGAAGTTTTGTTTATTTTTCCGTTTGGTATGAAATGATATTTTCATCAAGTAGTTGTATACTGTCCTTTGCATGTTTTTGCTTCTGCATAATTTAGTTCTTTCAGCAAATGATGCTTGTAATTTGTTGTCTTTGTTAATTAAAGATTTTTTTTTTTTTTTTGGTTGTGTTAGTGTTGCCTACGGCTGAATGATAGGAGAAAGATGAAGGAAACTTGTTTACTTAATAAGTAGAGGTTTTTCTTCATCTTTTGCTGTTCAAATTGGCAAAAGAGTACTCAATGTCATACAGGAAATTCCATTTAGGAATAACAACCTAGAAGGAAAATATAGATTCCAACTTCTTCTGCTGGTCCCTGGTGTTCTAGGGAGGACGTGATGAATTTCCAAATATTGGGCAGAGTTGCTTGATCATTTGGTTTATAGTATCCTCTGTAGCTAACTTCATACCTGCCCACAGAATCTGAAGATTTCCCATGATAGGTTAAATTCACAGAAAATATGTAGTAATTATGAATAGTTTGTAGGAATGGTTAAAGCTTGCCGACGAATGGTGGTAAAGAATACTTAACTGTGCTGTTAAAAGTGGCCAAACCATCAGCAGCCTGCATCAAGAAACAGAGACAAGGCAACAAGCAACCACATTCGAAGGAACTTGTACAAATAATTAAATCTGAAATAGGATATCTAATAAAAGAAGCCAGAAACTACATACTTTCTCAGATTTCAGAAACTTCTTTCTAATTTTCCTCTTTTACTAGTTCCTGCTCTCTTGCGCCGATGTCCACCGTTTTGCTTCTTGAATGAGATGGGCTGTCTATGAGAACCTTCATTATCTCTATCAAGAAGTTGATCTGGCCATCATCAAGAGTAGGTCCTGAGAACTGAACGAGAAGAAATCGTGTTTATGAAAACAGCATCGTTATCACAAACGAGTTTGGTACAGAAGAAACAGTAACTATTCAGATACTTCCAACTTTGAGCAACGCTCTGCAACATAGAAAGGGAAGTAACAACAGCATGGCGGCGATGCCATTTTACAGCATTAAAATGAGAAGGAAATGATTGAAGGAAGCTGTTTATAACAACTTCCCCAGCCAAGGCAGCTGCAATTCTAGCGGAGGTATTCTTCCTATGGGCTGAAATTCTTATCAAGCCCTGATTGTTGTTATCACTCTCTGCAGTTTCCTGTCAATTTTATGAATGAAAGCATAAACATGTTTTGTGAGCCCAATGATTGTGGTCTTAGTCTTGATTGACCAAGAGAACTTTGAGTTTGTGCCTGAATAGGGTTGGCTTAGTTTTCGTTTTCAATTATTTTTTAGTACTCCAAGGTTTTTTGTTTTATATATGTATTGGTTAGGTCCATTACTGCAAGAATCAAACGAGCTTTTCTCATGGTCATTGCTTTAGCAATTAGCATAAAAGAATTTACTAGCGATCTTATAAAATTCTCATGAATTCTTTGATGACAACGTAGGTATTCTATAAATGACAATCTAGGATGATAATTTTGATTCCAACTTCCTTCGCAGATGAAGGTCCAAGGAGAACATGAAGGATCTCCAGGTAGTAGGGATTAACCTTCTTCTAAAACGTAACAGTTGCTTGATCATTTGCCTTACAGTTTCCTCAGTGGCCAACTTATTACCTGCCCACAGGATCTATAGAAAAAGAAAAAGGAGTTACTCTATGATAAGTAAAATTGACAGAAAATCAAGCAATTTGCTGAATTAAACAAAGGATGGACTGTACCTCGGCATAAACAGTAACAATCTTGTGAAGATTTTTCTTTTTGGGGCCAAGAAGTTCCACATCTGACCTGGAATGAAATAAGAAAAATATTCCAACATCAGTGGAAATAGAACCGACTGTTTCTAGTTGTACTTCCACCATGTGATGAAAATCTTGCTTACGCTTCAACCAGTGAACAAAGCTGTTGATGTGCTACTTTGGCCTCATTTAGATTATTGTTCAGTGGCAAATGTCTTAACCACGTCCTAAAAAACTGTTGAATAGAGAAACAAACTTCACAGAATAGCCATAATATGGTTTCCAAAAGACAAATTAATTCCTAGCTTTGCTTCTACTACTGTTTTACTCTGCCAAACATACTCTCCTGTTAAAGATCAGTCCGAAAGGAAAGTATAAAAGGGAATAGAAGATGAAATGTGCATGCATTTGGTAAAACATAATTTATACCTCTGCTGCGTTGAGTTTTTCACGATGGAACTGCAAAAATTTTCCTAGAGCAGAAACAGCAGCATCATGGGCCATTACGTATTCTATCTGCAATGCCTTAGGATGCTCTATAACAGCTTTCAGAGCACAAAAAGCCTCTGCCAAAGAAAAGATAATGTGATTTATTGCAGAAACAGACTTCACAGGACTAACTCTGAAGCAGAAAGCAGAATAACAAGCAACCTTTAAGAAGAGACTTGAATGCAGACCCACCAAACTCTGCACATATCCCAATTGCCTGCGCAGCTACCTGAAATGATACTCTTTTGGTTCAGAAATGCACCATATGGATGTGTTCCAACATTACAGGCAAGAGTTAGAGATAAACCTCTACGACTTCGGGGTTCTCATCCTTGCACGCCTCAAAAATAAATAGAAGAAAAATCTTGTACTGCCTGTTTCATCAGATTCTATTAAGCACATCAAAATAGCATGCTGAATCAATAATTAAAAAAAAGAAAAAAGAAAAAAAAAGAAGCATTCTACCTAAATGCTTCTTCTGGGAATTGCTTCACAACATGACAAAATACACCCAAGGCAGTTCTTCGCTCTTTAACTTTTTTATCCTTTTCCTGAAGGCAAAGAACCAAGGAATGGCATATGAAAACAACTCGATCGGAATTGGGAAGTCATTAGGGTAGCCTAGAAGCAGCTGTCATGCTACAGTTTTTATGGATGAACATGAGATCAGTTAGCATCACAGAATTTAAGCAGAAAAGAATGGTTGAACTCACCCACATAAGTTGTATGCATGGCACAAGCTTTCCAAGGAATGGCGAGAAAGAAGGCTTGTGTATTCTGATGAAAGTGGCCAAACAATCAACGGCCTGCATCAAGAAGTGAACATAAGGCAAGAATTCAAGAAACCTGTACAGATAATTAAATTTGAAATAAGTGGAAAGGCACATCCAATTAAAGATGACAAGAACAACAGACTTTGTCATAAACTTTCTGTTCTTCCTCGTCTTCATCTTCTGGTAATGTCTGTTCTATTACATGATTGGCCCCCTCTTTGCTTCTTGAATTCATAACATTCATTATCTTCTTCAAGAACATGTCAGTCTGGTCTTCATCTAGAACAGGTCCAGACATCTGAAAAGATAGAAGATCATGTTGGTATGAGAACAACATTTTGTTATGAAATATGAATTCAATTAACGGAATCACTAACCTTAGACAGATTTATAGAGGGAAAAAAACATGATTAAAGAAAAAAAAAAAAGAAGATTCTTATTCTTTTGGTGTAGGATCATAAACAACTATAAGCAGTACAAACTTCTTAAAAGCAAGAGAGACCTTCATGCATTCCTCCAAAGAGTCCAAAATTATTGCAACAATTTCGGGCAAGGATTCCTACACCGCAATAGCAGTTAGAAATTACAAAATTTTCAAACAGCAGCTTAGCTTAATAAGAGTTCATTTCTTTGACCAAAGAAAAAATGCCATTTCTAGATAGAAATTACCTTACTTAGAGCTTTTACCAAAGCTGGTACCACATTCGAACATAATTTCTCAAAAGGAGATTCATCAGACAATTCAAGATACCCTTTTTGTATTGCTTCTTTAGATGATTTTAATAGCACTGGCATGGCTAGAGTCAAAGCACAAAAAATTAAATTGTGACTGTCATTGATGCAAAAATTTACACGAAAAATGAAGATGAGATAAATGGTGTTAAACAAGGCTTAGGACAGCTGAAAACTCTCATGACAGGCTTGGGTTTTAGGACAGCTACACTCGTCTAGGTTTCGATGCTTCAATTTGTGTATGATATCTGATCTGAAGATGTGACAATTCTACTCTGAAGTGTAAATACCTGAAGCAGAAACTCTTCGAATTTCTTCGTTGATTTCAAAGTTGAGACGTGGAATTAAAGTCTGAGCAACCTACACATATAATCGACCTTTGTATTGTAAGTAAATACAGCCCTTTACATTTTGTTTGAAGAGATTCAAGAAAGGAAAATCATGTCCAGTGCAACATAACGAACCTCTTCGATCCATACAGCAAGTCCTTCCTTCAACTCATCAGCAAGTAAATACAGGCCTTTACAAGCTGCCACTTTCTCCTCCAGAACCTTAGTTTTTATCCAAATCTTTCGATCTCCAAGAATTAGGGCCCTGATACTGTAGAAATCAGAAATTCCTCAGCAAATGAAAAGTGCTAAAAATCTGTTATCATAACTTGAAACACGAAAAAAATGCCATCTTAATTATTACTAAAACCATTTCTTCTGAAGGCATCAAGCTATAAGAGAGTTTTCTTAACTTTGCAGCATAGCTTACTGCATTATAGCATTGTTTCTACAAGTATAAAAAACCAGAAAAAGAAAATAATAATAATAATAACTTGTGCATTAGAGAAATCAAGAAAAAATTCTCTCAACTTAACAGCCAACCTGCCATCTGAATCATCAATATTGTCAGGATTCTCAGGTATAACGACATACGATCCAATCTTAGCAGCCTTGAGCAAACGAGGAATGGCGACGCTCATATAAGGTTCGAATTCTTGTCCCAAGCATTTCCCGAGTCTGGCCCATGCCTGTGACCCGTTTTTAGATTTGTGTTAGATAAAACCTGGTATAATTGGGAAGTACTGCCTTCATGTTTCACATGAAATTGGAAAAGTAACATTAACATACTAGCAACAGTTGACTTCTCACTGGATCATTTGCCTCTAATTCAGATTTTTGCAAAGAGATGAGCATTTGCACAACCTTGCGTGAGATAAAAACAGTTAGTACGGAAATGATCTCACAACTATAGATCATTCGGCCATTCCGGCCCAATCTGTTTCGGATACAGACTGACTTTAGGTGCTCTATTCTGAAAACTTGTTGTTGACAATTACCATATCAGTATCAGCTCTGATCTTTTCCTTTCCTACAGCCATCCAAACCATAGTGATGCACTCAATAGAATTGGAAAGAAGTTTGTGGTCAGATTCTTCTTTAGCAGTCATCATTATAACCTTAAGGTAAGGCATGACAGTACTGTAATACTCTGCAAACTGATCCTACAGTATAAAGATAAAAAGATAAAACATAGGGAAAAATAGAGAAAGAACGCTTAAGATTAAGTGAATATCAAGTAGTACCTGTGATGAATAAGCAACTGCTGACAATAAATTTAAAGTTTCACCCTTGAACATGTGATTTTCTTTCTGCATTACGAACATTATTAAATGCATTATAAACAACGGTGCACACAGTACAACCAATTTAATTAACGGTAATATACCTTTAATATTTTGAGCAATTTTTTGACTATTTCTTTCAGGTAAGGTTTAAGAGTACTTGAAGTGCAGTTCGAGGTGAAGTCGAACAATGCTGAATAAGCTTGAAGCTGAGAGAATATGATGAATAAAACAAGAAGATTAATCAAGGATATAAAGTCTATTGGCAAGACGGTAACAGGCTACTGATGATACAAGGTTAAGCCTGGATTATCTATTTCAGGAATCAAAGTACCTGAACACGCGGATTGTTAAAATCATCCATGGCTTCGGTTAATGCAGGCAGAACTTGTTCATGATACTGGTCTTGAAATTCAGGTTTCAAACGCTTGGAAAATTGTTTGATTGTATATAGAGCTGCCCAACGCACACGAGGGTGTATGTCTTCTTTGACACTTCCGATAATTCTTCCCGCCATTTGATTCCAACCTTGTTTCCACTCCTGCAATATATAGAACCTAAGGGATGATTTTGAAATCAAATAAAGCCACAAGAACTAGAACAAAGAATATAGAATGGGAAAAGAGGAATATTTCAAAGACCTTTAGCTTTGAGCATCTCTGTGCAACAATGCCAATGGAAAGAACAGCAGCATGGCGGCTCTGCCAATCTTCAGAACCAAAATGAGTTGCAAATAATTTGGGGAAATTCTTCATAAGAACCTTCCTGCCTAAGGCAGCTAAAATTCTATCCAAGCACCTTACCGAAGGCAGATTCGGGATATCACTCTCTTCAGTTTCCCATTCTGAGTCATCCTTCAATTTTTCTAGCAGAAACAAAATCTTCTCAAGAAACTTGGGGATTACACGTTTCGATTCTAGCAACATCTGTCGACCCTCAGCTCTTTCTTCAGCTAAAGCAACCACAAATTCTAATGCAAGAATTCTTGTTTTTTCCTGAAGTTCGACTTCATCCATGATCCTAAGCACAGTTAGAGCCACATAATCAAATTGTCCACTCAAGGACCATGGCTTCTCCTTTGCCAACACAGTCAATTCATTAACCACCGCCTGTACACCTTTGTCTGATCTATGCTCAACCACAGCCGGAATGGTCTCCACTATTTCAACCAAAAGGATACTATATGTATCATAGTTCGATCGATTCGTCCAGTAACAAAGAAAACGATTTGAGGTCAGAGCTGCCTCAACCTGCAACTCTAGACTCTTATCATCATTATCAAATATATCCACTAAACAATCATAAAAGGAGTCAAGACTAATAGCCAAATCTTCGACAGGACATTGCGGTATCAACTTATAGAGCAAAGAAACAGCATACTTCGTTTTCTCTTCAGAATCAGAATCCAAAGATTCATGAACAAACTTGAGAAGCTCAGGCCATTCATTTCCAAGTCTTACTTCTTTAGAGGCAACCTTGGCGACAAAATCGCGAAGTTTATGCAAATTCCTTGTTGAAGTCTCTGTCTTCAAACAATCAAGAATTGCAGATTTGAGTTCTTTATCCATGAAGGAGGTTTCTTGCCAAAATCCATGCTTATCTTCTGTCAGAATCTGGCATAGAGTATCAAAGGCACACTCTTTGCAGTTCACAAATTCAGAGCCACAAGTTTTAAAGAAAGAAATAAGGCATAGACAGAAGGAAGTAAGGTAATTTTTTTTAAGGTAATTCAGGAGGTTTTTGGCCTCCCTTAAAATAGGTGAGCTCTCAGGGAAGTTAAGTTCATCAAGAAGATAAGTAAGAGGCAATGTATCTGGTGATTCCAAGATTTGTATGGCTTTATTTCTGAGAGAGTCCCTGGTTGAATTCAGCAATGACCGTGAAGGCGGTGAAAGTAATGGAAATGGTGATTTCTTTAAGCCCAATGATGGTGGTCTTAGTCTTGATGTTGGTGGCGGTGACCAGTTTATTGCTGAACTTGGGTTTCCTTGGAGCTGACAGAGTTTGGCCCTCAAGAGCAAAGGCAGGGGGATCGATGGTGGTGTAGCTGAATCTTGAGCTTGTGGTGATGAAGTACCGGAGCCCATTCTTGAAAGATTCTTGACAATGGAGAATAGGTGATGTGAATCTTTTGAGAGAAGGAAGGGAAGCACTGAAATTGGAAAAGTTGGCCTCTCTGGTTTAGTTACTTGGTAGTAACTATATTTAACAGAAAATGTGAATTGAGGGATTAAATTAAAACATCAGTGTTAATGAGGGGGTCAAATTAGAAAATTAGAACAATCACAGAGCTTTTAAGAGAATTGTGGTTCGTTTTTGTCCCTGAGTATTAAAAAAGAAAGGGAAACATAAAATAAGCCATTAAATTATTAGAGTATTATTAATTTTACATTCAAATTAACTTTTGTATCTGTTTTACTATAAAATTATTTTAATTTCTTAATTAAGAATTTTTGTCAGAATCACTTAAAAAAGGCATTAAATCCCTACATAATGAACTTGTTTCTTAAAATAATAATAATAATAAAATACATTTTGAATAGAAATATGGAAAAAAAGATTTAAAATTAGATAGAAGTACTTAATTGCGAATTTCTAAAACTTTGACTGTTAAATTGATATAAAAAATTATTTGATGGTAGCATTAAAACTAACTATATGGTCAAAAAGGCTTAGCTATAGTGAACACGCTTAAAACGGTGTTGTTTTGCATTTTTTTTTTTTTTACTTCAAAACAACATCGTTTCGTAAAAAAAAAAAGTGATTTTTTTTTTTTTTTAAAATATGAAGTCGTTTTGGTTTTTGGTATTTGATTTTTTACAAATATGAATTCATTCTTGTCATTGCTTTGCATAAAATGATCCATAAACTTCAGAGAATCAGGTTTTTTGAGTTTCAGGGTAAATTAAAACATGCTTTAAGGTCCCAAAATATTTTTTAAATGTCGTTGGGATGAATATAAATTGTTTGGAGGAAAAAAAAAAAGTGTAAAAATTAGGTTTGGAGGGGGCAAAGCCAGTGTGCCTTGATTTCCAGCGTCTTTCTTGCCATATATTGGCGGTCGAAATTTGCAGAGACGGCGAGGCGTCAGCCGTCAGGCCTCGCTGATGACCTGTTGCTCGACGTTGTTTTTTAAAATTGTTGGTCGTCCGCCTCTGTTATTTTTTTTTATTTTTTTATTTTTTTATTATTTTTTTTAAGGCTGGGTCAAGAGTGTCTAGGCAAGACGTGTTAGCCTGGCAATCCTTAGGCCCGTTTACATAGGCCTGACGCAGACCCTAGCCCAACTTCCTTCTTATCTTTCTTTTTATTTTTATTTTCCATTATTAATGGTTATTCTTTGTTTTTTTTTTTTTTTTTTTATAGACTCATAAACTAATATTAAATATCATTCCAAAATACATTGATTTAGCGCCGTTTCAATGTCATTTTTCACCTTCTTTTAATTATTGACTTTTCTAATTTGATTTTTTTTTGTTAAATAAATAAATAATTGTGTGTTTTCTTTTTTAACTGATCAAAATTAAATATATTTACATGATATATTTATATTCAAACACAAAATACACATGGTGTTAAATACATAATACATACTAAACTAAAAATTCCCACAATTAATATAAGGAAAGCCAACATGCTGCAACTTTCAGCGCATGAACAACACGAATACACAACTCAAAGCCAGAGACAAGCTTCTTCTATTATTCAAAGGTACCTACATTTTTCTTCTCTTAATAATTTTTTGTTCAATAAGTTTTGCTTGTCTTTTCTTTCTTATCGATTATCTGAGAATTGGAGAAATTACTTGGTTGTCAGGGATGGAATAGAATGGATTCAGGCGGTGTTGCAAAAGTAAACAAAGTAAAAAAGATGATGCAGATATGGTGATAAGAAATGGGATTGACAAGATCTCTCAGTTGACTGAACACATTATACACCACATTCTCTCTTTTCTCCACATAAGATATATGTGTGGCTTGTATCAGTGTTTGTCCAAGTCATGACATGGTTTTTGGACTTCATTTCTGGTATCAGGTTTTGATTGTTCTGAATCCTTTTTAGGACTTCATTACAAAACTCATGCATATGATCAAGAACGTCAAGTAAAAAGAGTAAGATTTGCGAGTTTTGTGCATGATTCTGTAGTACTTCGACGACAATGCTGTGGCGGTGCAAGTTCTCTGACGTTTAGACCGTCCATGACATACAACTTGCCTACTCTAGTTCTCATATTGACCATTCTTTACAATTGGTTACACAGTGTGGTCTCAAGGAGCTTGTTCTTGACACTAAATCGTATTACGGCCTGCCTCCGACTGTCTTCTCCGCCGACGCATTGATGGTCCTTAGACTGAGTGGATGTAGCCTCAGAGGGCCTCACCGTATGATAAATTGGCCTTCTGTACGTGAGTTTTATAGGGACAAGGTTTTCTACAATGAGGACATTATTTGGAATCTCAAATTGACTTGCCCATTAATCGAGAAATTTTCTCTTGTATGTTGTTCGGGTGCTTCCCGAATGATTAAGCTTTCCGGTTTCTCCAAGCTTGATCTCAGAGGTAGTCCTATTGCGAAGATAAAAAACAATCTACCCAGTCTTCAAATTATAAATTATAATCAGAGGCGATGGGAGTGCCAGATTGACCTAATAGGTAAATGGGATGGTTTTTAATTTGGTCTTGTGCTTTTTATTTTCGGAAGCTGCCATACATACTAACCCTAGTGGTTCTGATTTTCGGGGTTTTGCTTAGTTTGTCACTAGTTTGATGGTCTTTCATGAATCATGATCACTAGACGCATGCATGTGGTTATAGAAAGGTGACCATAAAGACTGATTTTTCGAGAAGCCGTTGATGCTATATGCAGAAGAATCTTCCCTACTCACTTTTATTATAAGATCATTTCTAATATCAGATGCTTATGTCAATGGTAAAGAAATGTTTCTTTCAATAATTATACTATGTATAAAACCGAATAGTGTTTCAATAAAGTTAAGCACGGTGAAATTAAAACAGCGAACTTTTGGTTTTTTTTAAGTTCAAAACGACGTATTTTACTAAAAAAATAAGAGGTTATTTATTTATTATTTGTTTTTCATTTATCCTATTTTTTGCACTAAGTCATTAATTTATATAAAACAATCTCTAATATTAATTAGTATTACAAAAAGGTTTGTAGATTTTTTTTATTGGATTGGGTTTCCAGCCCAGTTGCATGGGTCAGGTTTTCTCCAAGCCCATATGAAAGAGCTTGGTGCCAGCCCATTGCAGCCTTTTTTCTTTTTTCTTTTTTCTTTTTTTTATGTTTTTATTATTTGTTATTTATTCAAAATAATTTTTTATCATAATTAATGGTTATTTTTTTATTTTTATAAATATTCATTAACTAAAATTAAAAATTCTTCTAATATAAATAGATTAAACACCTCATTCTAATTTGATTTTTTAATAAAAAATTAATTATATGTTTTTTTTATTTATCAAAATAAAAAAAATTACTAAAGTATATTTAAACTCAATTATATATATGTATTGCATGATACATATTAAATTTTTTTACAATTAGTGTTAATTAATTTTTATTTTAGGCTTCTATTTTTGAATTATTTAAAATACTAAAATATAGTATATAATATATTTATCCATGAGAACGAGTTGGTATTGAGCTGGTATTATAAATAACTTAAATCCAAGAATTAAAACCATCAAGGCAAATTGACCTTTGATAAGAGTGTTTCTGCATAACTTTGTGAAAGACAAGTGAGTGCTAAACTCACCAAAATTTGAATACATCAGGGTTCTAATTTGTTAGAAATAAGCCAGATTTCAAGACATGAAATTTTGGATTACCTTAAATACTCTAAATAGTGGAAATGGACTAAGATTAAACTAGCTTTCTATTGTTATCCATAAGATGCAGGGTTAACTGATGCCTCTTCATTCTGCTTATCGTCCTTGGCAGCAAACATGACTGGGATGGTTATGATGCAAACCAATAGGTTTCGAAATTTATAAAATGGTATGAGCGTGATAAATATTATTTATCTAATTTTGAGGTTTTTTAGACTTAATTCAATATCAAACAGATCAACGAGCAAAACTCATCACTCTGCCCATGACGTAGGGGTGATTTTAGCCACAAAAAAATGTCATTCATTCCCTTTAAATCCACTTTACTGTTTTTCGAGATTTTTTCTAATTTTTTGGATTTTTAGTATTTTTTTTCCTTTTAAATTACTTTAGGGTTTTAGCAGAAATTTACTATTTATGTATGATCTTGAGACAAAAAAACGCTATTTTTCTTGACTAATAAAGTTTTATGACAGAATATATTAGTTTTATCTCAATTTCTAGTATTCCTTGAATCAATAGAATTGAAGCATATTTTTTTATATTTATGTGTAAATCAATAGATTATAGTAGATCGATATTTAAATTCCAGATCAACAATATTTATTTTTGTTGTAGTGAGTTTTCGTTGCCTCAGGCCAGCAATGCATAACTCAGTGTACCGAGTGCCCAATTCACAACCAGCTGGTTAAGCAATGGAACTTTGTGTGTATCAACTTGCCAAGCAATTGCAGCCCCTGCACTCTGCACTCCCTTGTACATACTGTACGATAAGGGAATCGCGATTCATGAAGCTGATTTTCTAGTAAAGTTGAGTTCCGATGATGCTGTTAGAATTTCTTTTTGAGCATCGTTTAGAGATAATAAATGCAATAGGAGCATCCATCCACAAAAAGACCACCCTAAGATGATTATCTTATGATTATTCGGAAAGAAATCAAATCAGATGGTCTTATTTTTCAATGTTTAATTCTGATTTGCTCTTGCGAAACTAAGAGGTAAAAAAAAAAAAAGAAAAAAAAATCGGTCATTCACAACCACATGTACTCGAAAAGTTAAAGATTAGTAATTCACAACATTTGTGGTTTGTTTGCTTATTTCAAAAAAAAAAAAAGGTATCCATATGAGCATATGGGTTAATTCTAAACCCATAAATATTTTTTGTAAATTAATTCAAGACAAGCATGTAAGGTTTGCATCATTGTAAATTCAGATTTAGATTCTACGTTTCTACTCTTGGCAACGGATGGATCCTTGATAAAATCTAAACATGGAATATTCTGCTAACTGTTACAGATAGTCATAAAAAGAAGAGAGATTACTTACAATTTACAAATTTGAACATTCTCACCCAAACAATCATGAGTTTGGAACAAACTTTGCAATGCTATGCAAGCACAAACGTCATGACACTCCAAGACAAATTTGTCTACATTTACCTAGTTAATTCTCCTCCAAATATTACGCCAAAGGCCGTCTAGATTCACTTTGCAGTAGACCTGTTAACAAGGTATAAAAAGCCATAGCCCCACTATCTTTTTGCGTACAAAGCATCATAACCTAGTTACTTAGGCTTCTTGATCAACTTTTAAAAGAAAAGGAAGGGAAAAAAAAAGACCAGTATGGGAGAGGTTGATCGAGCTTTCATTCAAGCTCAAGAGCACAGGCCAAAACCCAAGATCATCGAAGCAGAAGGAATACCCTTAATTGATCTTTCCATAACCAGTACTCCCAACACCAACTTAAACGATCCTCATGCACTTGATGGTCTTGTTGAGGAAATAGGCAACGCATGCAGAAATTGGGGGTTTTTTCAAGTGATCAATCATGGGGTGCCACTGGCTAAGCGACAAAACATTGAGAAGGTATCAAGAGAATCTTTTGGTCAGCCTTTAGAGGAGAAAAATAAGATTAGGAGAAATGAGGAGCAAGTGTTGGGTTATTATGACACTGAGCATACCAAGAATGTTAGGGACTGGAAAGAAGTGTTTGATTTCAATGTCCAAGATCCAACTATTGTCCCAGCTTCATACAAGCCTGATGATAAGGAACTAACCAAGTGGTTTAATCAGTGGCCTGAAAATCCACCTAACCTAAGGTATATGATATTGTTTTCTTCTTTTTTTAGGTCAAAATTTAGTTTTTATTGTTCAACAGTTTAATACGTTATGTAGATTCAACATGTCAATCTCGCTAAATCTTTGTGTTGTATGATTGTTTCATTATCTTTTTTTTATTATTTTTTTGTTTGATTCGTTTTCTATCAGTTATTTCTATTCACACACATTTTATAGATTGAATTACCCTAAAAAGTTTTATCATATTTTAGTTCTTCTTTGGAACTGTTATCTATACAATCTGATACATTTCAATGAACAGAGATATCTGTGAAGAGTATGCTAAAGAAATGGAAAAACTAGCTTTCAAATTGATGGAGCTAATAGCCCTGAGTCTAGGCTTGCCCAAAGATAGGTTCCTTGAATTCTTCAAAGAACAAACCAGCACCATTCGATTCAACCACTATCCACCTTGCCCAATTCCTGACCTTGCTCTAGGCGTTGGTCGACACAAGGATGCCGTGGCCTTGACCCTCCTTGCTCAAGATGATGTTGGAGGGTTAGAAGTGAAGAGAAAAACAGATGGAGAGTGGCTTAGGGTCAAGCCAAACCCAAATGCCTATATCATCAATGTTGGTGACATTATCCAGGTAAATCATTTTCTAAACTCGCAAAGTAACAACTTAATCGATGTTATTGTTTGTAAATGTTATTGTTCTTGTAGGTATGGAGCAATGACACTTACGAGAGTGTGGAGCATAGGGCGATGGTGAATTCTGACAGGGAAAGATTTTCCATTCCTTATTTCCTTGCCCCCGCACACTCCACCGATGTGCAGCCCTTGGAGGAGCTGATAAATGAGCAAAACCCTGCCAAATACAAACCATACAACTGGGGGAAATTTTTTGTCACAAGAAGACGTAGTAATTTCCAGAAGCTTGATGTTGAGAACATCCAAATTTATCACTTCAAGATACCCGAATCGGAGTTGGCAGAAAAATTGGCCGGAGCATCGTCCATTGGCAAGTAATAATATGCTGCTGCCTATAGAGAATGTTACCTTGTAAACATCAGAAATGATCCAAGAGATCCATTAGTACTCTGTATATAAATAATGGAATCGTCTATGAATAAAGGAGAATATTGGAACCAAATTCTAGTAAAGATAAGATAGAAATATTTGGAATTCAAATGGGTAGCAACATGGTGACAGAATTGAAAACTGAAGAACAAGAAATTAAATTGCAAGTTTTACATGATCAATGTTGTCCAAGAACTTGCCGAGAGCTCATGACTTAAAGGTGATAAAGAAATGACGGCCGATATATTTATGCCAAATATTTACCTTGACAATTTGTTCAAGCTTCAGCTTTTTCCCCATTTTTTTTCATGGATAACAACAAGAGCTTCTTGGAGGGCATCATTAATCTCTTGTTTGTCTTGGAGACTATCATGGGATACGGATGAATCCAATCCCAACTCAACTAGTGCATAGTCTTAGGAGGCAAAACAGTGTCAAGATCGTAACCTCTGGATTTGCATACAGAAAAGTAATGATTCAAGAATTGATTGTCCAATTCCTGATCGTTTTTGGAGTGCAACGTTCTTAACATAAATATGATAGTTACTCCCTTCAGCGACACAAACATCATAATCCTCATGATCGGAAATATAAACATCAATACTATAGGTGTCAAAGATCAGAAGAAGCCTCCACTTGCTCTGCAAGGCATTTTCTTTTGTTTCTAAGTCTTTGCAGAAATCGAATCAAACGCTTGGTAAATTCATCATAGTGAAACTCCTCTTCCTCCTCTTCCTTCGTAGACATATCTTGTCTTTGTTTCTCTGAATTGGGGACACGCCTTCTCCTCAGGAAGTTTTTTCACCACCTTTCTTTCTTTCTGCTTTCTCTGTAAATTCTAAGCTAGGCTTAAACCTGCATACAATGCATAAATCATTATAAACCAGTAGCAAATAAATTAAGGGTAATCTTATAGCTGCAAAAGCCCAAAATCAGATTCTTCAATATATATCTTATTTCTCAATAACATATAAATATTCATCGAAGTAAAAAATCAAGCAGCAGACACCACCTCTGTCAAATCTTTCAGAGTATTCAAAACCTAAAGTTCATTGTTACAGGACTTTATTGGCACTCTAACTTTTTCGTGGACTTAGAAGAAAAATATAGCCATATGTTATGTCACTGATTTTTCTCAAGTGGAACATGACTCAGCCCAGCAAGTTAGCCAGTTTCTCTCACATTGTATAGGACCTTGATGAGCTCACAATTCGTTATTACGGTTAAGATTCATTGTTTTATTGTAATCCAAAAGACTATCCGAGCAACCCTATCGTCTCGATTTTTGGGATCTAGAGGTCCTTCCTGACCCGATCTTAGATTTTGTCAACACCATTTCAGTCCTCAAGTAATGGACTATCCCAGAAGATAATTAAACCATTAAATAAATAAAAAGTTGTCAATTACTAACGGGCTTACTAAAATGGATAGAGGTAGACTATAGTATAATCTTGTTGATTAACAGATGGGCCTTAAAGATCAACTACATATAAGTTACCAATACATAAGCCCAACATAATAGTTCGTTACTGCTAAACGGTACACATCTTTTCTGAATTTTATGTTATTCAAGAATTAATATTTTAATTTTTAATTTTAGATTGTACCTCTCTTCAACCATTCCTTCAATTATTTTTTTTATTTAAATTGAATTCTTTTGTTAAGTTTTTATTTACGTATAAGTGTAATTTTTTGAAAACCATTAAAGGATATTTTTAAGAAAAGAAACAAGTTTTGAATGAAACAACAAAATATTTATAAATTTTAGCATATTTTTAACTGTTGAAGAAGTTAAAAAAATTAAACACATACAAGTTACGTATACTTTCACTGTTAGAATTAATGAAAACCTAACGAAATGACTTAATTTCAAATAAAAATTGATTGAAGAGATGTTTAACATAAAATTAAAAGTTAAAGGATTGGTTCTTAAATGATATAAAGTTTAGGGACGCTTATTAATAGAGGTTTTGTTCTTCAACTAACCCAACAAAAAAGCAACTTGAGATACCAGCTTCTTCTACTACTCAGATTTCAGAAAGGTACGCTTTGTCTCTCAATGAGTTTTTGCGCTTTGTGTCTAGACTCTAGGTCTCTAGCCTCTGTCTATTTCCCTTTTCTTTTCTTTTCTTTTTTTAATTTCCCTTATTAGTATCCGAATAAAACTGATCACTGATCTGTTTTGTTTACCGTGAATGTTTGGTTTTTTTGTTTTGCTTACAATTTTGATTGAATCTCTGCTTCGGGGGAGGTTTTTTTTCATGTTTTTTGGCTCTAAATTTAATGAGGTTTCAGAACCCACCTTAACAGCTTCGCAAACTTGTATGGGATTTATGATAACTTGTTTAGACTTAATTAAACTTGTCTGCCTTTTTTGTTGTTCTGTTTTTTAGGTGCATATTACTTGTCGACCACAGTATAAAGTTTGATTCTTTTGCGTTGAATTGGTGAATTTAGATTGGATGACGGCAGAGATTGTTGAAAGTAAGAAACTTTTCAAGAAAATGGTGATGACTAATGAGATTGATTGGATCTCTCAATTGCCTGATCACATTATACACCACATTCTCTCTTTTCAGCCCGGAAAAAATGTGGCTCGCATCAGTGTCTTGTCCAAGACCTGGCATGGCTTTTGGACTTCGTTTCCGGTATCTAATCTTCAATTTTCTGAACGGTTGTTTGAACGTGGTCTGAAAAGACCATGTGCAATTGGAGAAATTAAAGACTGGAAAACGAAATTCGCAAGGCTTGTGCACGATTCTGTTCTCAGACAATGCCGCCTCAACACAAGTATTGAAAAGTTTGAACTGTCTATGTCCTACTACTTGCATCCGGATATTCCTCCTCGTATTGATCATTCTCTTGAAATGATCATTGACCGTGGTGTCAAGGAGGTTCATGTCAAATTTAAAGAGAATTCTGATCTGCCACCTTCCATCTTCTCTGCGAAAAGATTAACTGTCCTTAAATTGGCTAGATGTAATCTCATAATGCCTTGCCCTAGCGTAATTTGGCCTTCTCTCCGCAAGTTTTCTCTGTATGAGGTTTCCATCGATGAGCAGATTATTCAAAATCTCAATTTGACTTGTCCTTTCCTCGAAAAGTTTTCTGTGGTGCATTGTTCGTGGCTTGGAAGGGTTAAACTTTCTGGTTTTACCAAACTAAAGAAGCTTAAGGTTAAGATGAATGATGCAGATTCAAAGAAAATCGAGATCAATGCACCCAATTGCAGATACTAAATTATAACGGGAAGAATTCGAAGTGCCAAATTGATGTGGCTGCTTGCAGAAATCTACAGGTATTGAAGTTGAGTGTTATAACATTAGACAACAAGAATGTCAAGATATTATTTCTGAACTTCATGACCTTAAGATTTTGGTCCTGGATTGCGTTTTATTCAGGCCAATCAGCATTTCAAACAAGCGACTTGAAAAGTTACTGTTCTCATGGAATATTCTATCACAAGCTACCATTCATGCTCGAAGATTGAAGTCATTAAAATACAACTTCATGGGGTACCCTTTTCGTATTTGGTGGACAGAACAAGTATACAGAAAGCTACCGTTAGATTATTTGATAATAATCTCAACCTTTATAGATTCTGTCAGTTGAGGGAACACATTGAAAGTTTCAACCAAATCAAGCATCTGACATTGCACATTATTCCTTTGTACATGAGAATTGATATTCCTGAACCTGTTCATAGACTGTCCATTCCTGCTTTGCCTGATATCAAGAACTTGAAGCTGAAAATCAATTCATCATCGATAAAGTCGATACATCAAAACCTTACCGAAAAACATTTCGAATATGTTGCGGATAGCTTATTTTTGACGTGTCATCCAGAATCTCTTTTACTTCTTTCAGGTTGGGGATCGAACAATGAATTTATGAAGTTCCTCTGCAAGAAACTAATGTGCGAAGAAAAAATCCAACATCATTGTAGATTTTTCAATTATAAGTGTTGGCAGCATGACTGGAAGGACATTCGGATCGAGCACTGCAAAGGCAATGGAGTTAGAGAAACTCTTACATGTGCTGCTTTGTTGAAGTCCCTGCAATTGCTCTCTCCACGTGAGAAGATTTTTTTTATTCCAAAGGTAATCTAATTTATGCGTCAGTGATTCTGCTATTTTAATTTATTTCGAGGAACAAGAGTCTGTTTTTTTATGCAACAAGTTGATCCTGGAAAATGGAATTTGTTATTTTAAGGTAGCATTTTTTTCCTTCTTTTTGACAATGTTCAGCAATCTTGTTTCTCGTGATTGCCAGTAAACTGAAACTGTGTGTTATTTTGGAATGATGTTCTGAGTGAAATCAATCTGAGAAAGATGTCCTGAGTTACATAAGTGCGAGAAACTTGCACATTTCAAGATGACAAAAAGGAAGAATTATCCGAACTTTAAAACCATATAGTAGTGTTAAGGTTTTTGTCACTTCTATACAAGATTAATTTTCTGCATTTTCTGTCCAACTATGTTTATGACAGATTAATGAGTGAAAAATGGAAGAAATTTTAATAATTTCTACTTGTGAAAGTAGATTATGGATTATGGATTAGGCGAAGAATTTAGATAAAACTTATTATTAACAACAGATGGGTTTTTTAATCTTACAGGAAATAAAATGAATTGCAGAGTGTAGAACATATAAAGTCCAATACATTAGCTTATGCTGTGAAACTGAAAATTAAAGAGTAAATTATTCCTCAAGTCCCTAGAGTTTTCATGGTTTTATAACTTAGTCATTTATGTTTAAAAATGTATGAATGTCTTTAATTTGGAGTATTAACAATTTTGCATCCAAACTATTTTTATATCAATTTCGCCGATTTTGATTTTTTGACTAAGTACTTTTTTTTAGAATCACTTAATAAAAAAAAAAGTCCCTACCTAATAACTTTTGTTTTTTTTTTAAAAAAAAAATAAAGTACAATTTGGATGAAAATATAGAGGGAAAACCTTAAAAATAGATGAAAATACTTAATTGAGAATTTCTAAAAGTCTGACGATAAAATTGACATCAAAAATTATTTGGTTGTAATATTAAGGCTACCTGTATAATTAGTGGTATTTTTTAAGTTTGGTCAAAAAAGAAAAGGCCAAGTTTGCGGTGATAAACAATGGATATAGATAGATGTACCCAGTCTTCAAACTCTACAATCTCAGGGGAATTTCAGACTGTCAGATTGATGTGGTGGCTTGCACAAATCTTTCTAGTATTGAAGTTGAAGTCTCCTAGATAGATGTGCCAGTCTTCAATTATCAGGGGAGAAATTCTAGGGACTCTTTTGGTTAAGATTCTTTTGATAGGAATAGCAATATAGTTTCTATGAAAAAAATTAAAGGGTTGATTTGAGTGGAAGGAGCTCTAATCGTTCAAATAATAATTTTTAAATTCGAGTCTTTAGGTACGCATAAAACTCTTTAGGTAGTTGTTTTTATATTATATATCCGACGGAATAACGAATGATTAGTTTTGATTTTTAGAACTGAAATACCTTAAAGATCTATAAAAAAAATTTGATGTTACGAGTAAGAATTTAATCAAAAAGATATAATTAATTTTGTAACCATAGGTAGCTGTTTCAACCACTTGCATTAATCATTTTTTATCTCTGAAATCTCATTGATTAATAACATTTAATAACTGAGAATCCATTCTAGAAAATGGCACAATTAGAAAGTCAGCCATAATATTTTATAAGTAGTTGAAAAGTCAAAATTTAGATTAAAAAAAAATTCTTGGGTTCATGTGTATTACAAAAAGAAAGGAAAAAAAAATCCCTTCATGTCTTAAAAAAATAAGTAAAATAATGAATGTGTCTGTTCACTAACTTATATTTAACTTCAAGTCTCTAAAAAAATCACTTAGGACTTCTATATAAGAAATATCTTAAAATTATAGACGCATTCTTTTACAAAAATCTTCTCCCCTTGTGTAGCTTTAGTTTCTGATCATGGCATCCAAGCTAGCAATGATTGTTGTAGTTTTCGTTATCGGTCTTCTTTTAACTTTCCGTAACACTTCAAGTCTTTTTTTCTGTGCTTTTTTTAATTTATTTCTATCTATATTATGTACTTACAAATCAATGATAACAATCTCTCATTATTTCTGATTAGTCTATTCTTTGTTTCTGTGATCTGGGTTGCCTTCATAACCCTAAATCTGTATGGAAAGAGGACACTAAACTAAAGAGAAAAGTACTTTTGACTTGTGTTTCTTGTGTGTAGGTGTTGGCAATTCTATAGATTACAAATGTGAATCAGAAGATCCATGCAAAACTGATGCAGACTGCTTCATTCTTTGTCCTTCTAAATATGGATTTTGTAATACGGACAATGAACTCCCTGAAGTTTGTTGCTGTCAGAAAAATCAATCAAAAACCACCACTAAGGGTAAGTCAAGTCCTAAGGTTAAGATTTGAAAATGAACATCTTGTATTTGACTTGTTCTTCTTTTGTGTAGGTGTTGGCCGGAAATTAAATGGAGTGTCAATGTGAACCTGAAGATCCATGCACACCTGATGCAGATTGCTTGAATCGCCTCAAGTTATGACTTGAAAATGATCATCTTGTATTTGATTATTTCAAGTCATAAGGTATTAAATTATATGTATTAGCCCATAAACGATAGATGTTGCAAGCTGTCTAGCTTGTATTTGCGCCTTTACAGGCTCAACAATAATGTCTTCCTTTTGTTTCGTTAAATACAAGTGTTATTATTTTGTTCAAAGCAAGCTATATATAGTTTGATTTTGAATGGGTTTGTTTTGAAGGACAAGTAAAACTAATAAAAAAAAAAAAAAAAATTAATAAACTACTGTTGAAACAATAGCTGGTTGTGCAACTATTGAGGTATTACAGGAAAAGCATGTGAAGATGTTATTTCTATACTCTTCACGAACTTAAGATTTTGGTGTTGCGCTGACCTTTATTGAGGACAATCAAACATTTCAAATAAGCATATTCAAAAGTTAGAATTTTCTTCAAAAAACCAAGCTGTCATTCATACTCCAAGATTGGACATTAAGTGTTCTTGCATTGAAGGGAACATTCCTAACCACATCTCTTTTCCTGCTAAATGAAGCACTTGAAGCTGAAAATCAATTCATCATTGACCTGCTTTGAACGTGTAGCAATCCAGAATCTCTGTTTCTAATATCAGGTTGGGTTCTAACAATGAATTTATGAAGGTTCTTTGCATGTAAATAATGCACAGAGAAACAAGTCGGGTTCGCTACAATGAAAAATCTTGGCAACATGACTTGAAAGGCATCCAGGTCGATGAGAAATTTTCTTCCTTTTTTTTTTGTCTATTTCTTTTCTCTAAGAGATTCATAAAATAACTACTATATATATCATTAATTATTTTTTGAGTATTATAAAATTTCTCAAGATCGATCACTACAATGAGAATGGAGTTAGAAAGTCCCTTCAAGCTACCGAGGGGAAGATATTGATCCTATTCTGATTATTTATTTATTTTATTTTATTAAAAAAAAATAGGAAGAATATGTATTTAGTATTTGTGTAAGTTGTTTTTTTAAATCTTATTATTTATTCATCATGTATTTTCATTTATTTTTGGTCCAATTATTTTATTCCAAAATGAAAAACTTTTTTTCTCCGCGGTATTGTGTTTTCTCATTATTGCTAATAAAATTAAAATTTACTGTCAATGAATTTTATGCCTTCATCTATTATCAATTCCCTGACATGATTTGGAGACTACATCGTATAATTGGTGGAGCCCCGAGATGCCTTGGCTGCTATTGTTGAAATTGCCATCGACTTACGCAGAAAGTATTGTTGGAATAGCTTGCACTACCCTTATCACAAACATAGAAAACAAAAATAAATAAATAAATAAATAAGAAAATTAAGTTGAAATTAACAATAACATATATGAAAATATGCAATTTGAATTCTAGTATGATTTTTATCAGTGCAGACATCGAACATGATTGACAAATATTTATTACATGAATGGCAAAAAAATATATGTATATATAATAATAATAATATAAAGATATGCCGAACTTATGAAAATAATACTTTGTAACTTTTTCACATGTGATACACTGCCAAACAAACAAATAATTTTCTCTAAAACTTAATTTTTTATTATTTTTTTAACTGCTACGTTTGGATTGTATGTGTTTTGGGACTTATTATAGCTTAGTCCCTGTAGTATTAAAAATAATTAAATGGCCTTTTGACTAGTGTTGATAATGGTTAATTTAGTAGTAATTTGGTCCAAAAAATTGTCTTCTTTTCTCCTAATCTTTACATCCTGTCTACCTTTTTTTTTTTTTCTACATCTTAAAATAGAAAAAATAAAATGAAAAAGAATATGAAATAGAAGAAGAGGATTAAGTTATAAATGAATTTAAAAACACGAGAATTAAATAGATAGTTTGTGAAACCATGATGACTAATTAAGTGTTTTTGCTAAACCACATGGATTAAATGCTAATTAATCCTTAACTTAATTTCAATAGTGTTTATATATACCTTTCAACTGAAGGCTTATTTCAGCAAATATCTACATATTCCACCATAATTATATTCAATAGCCATTTTTAGTTTAGGTTATTTTTAAATGTATCCCAAAAATTTTAATTCTAACACTAAATTCAAAAAATTCTAGCTTCGGTTCTATTTATGGCTTTTTCAATTGTCATTACTATTTGAAAAAAAAAACTTCGTTAAGAAATATCCTCAATTTTTTCTCAACTTGATGAATTGATCCTCGTCCTTTTGTTTTACTCATCAATCTAGTCGCGGCCATTAATGAGGGGAGCAAATTATAAATTTGTTTCTTTATTTTTAAAAAATAAATAAATAAATCTTTTTTATTTTAAAATTTAATTATTTAATATTCATATTTTTAAGTTTCTCATAACTTAATTCTTTTCATTCTTTTTTCAATTTTTTTTATTTTTTTGAAAATAGAAAAAGGGAAAAGTAAGCAAAAAGAACAAAAATATTGATCAGAAATATGATTTTTTTAAGATAAAATAATAATTAATTAAGTGTGATCAACAATGACCAAGAGACTAAATATTAGTTTTTGAAACTAAAAAACTGATTAATTCATTTTCCAAACTTAGAGGGACTAATATATAATTTACTCTAACTAGGGGGCTGATGTATCAACATACGCCATATCATCCCCTTTTTTTTTTTTTTTTTTTTTTTGGATTTTATTAAATGGACAGGCCGGGCTGTAGTTGAGCCAAAAAATGAGTGTGAGCTGCTTACTGTAAGCGTGGCCCAAAATCTTAAGAACAGAAAAATAATAAACTGGAACTTTTAGAATTTTACAAAATCTTAAGAAATTATTGTAATTTATCCTATTTAAAATAGTATAATTACCTCCTGTGGTAAGGATATTCAAAAGAGGGTCCCAATTTTGAAGTGGGTATAGCGAAAATAGGAGTGGGAATAGCGACATCCAAAAGAACAGCCTGATTCCTCCTCCTAATGAGTAATGAAAAACTGAAAGCCTCTGGTTTTTGTTCTTTAAATAGAAAACAAAAGCAGAGAGTAATTTGCAGTTGACATAAAATCTTCGTCTGCTGATTCAAACTGGTACTACCCCTTGTCTTCTCTTGACGACTTTCTATTCTTTGACCTTTGCTTTCTCTTAATTTCTCTGATAGGTATATGATAAAAATTGTTAATTTTTTTCTGTTTTGCTTTCTGGGTTCTTTTTGTTCATCTAATTTTTTTTCTTTAACCAATTCATAAAGTTTGTGTCTTTGCACTGAAAATTGGCGTATTTAGTTGGTTGCTTGAGGTAAAACAGAATGGATGAAGAGGGTAGTGATTGTCAAAGGTAAAACATAAAGCAGGAAAGATGCTGGGGACATATTGATTTGGATTTTTGCCAATCATTGTCTGAACCTTGTGTGGGATTGAACAAGATTTTGCAAGCTGAACATCTTACTTTGTTATGGGCTAATTTCCATAACAAAATCTGGAGCTAATATGTGGAGTGTTCTTGCATTTGTCAGCACAAATCATCCTCTGGCTCTCTGAGCTCTTGAAATCTAAAAATATAATCAACTAATTGGAAACAGAATGTTCCTAAGACCTCAGGTTTAATTGCTAAACAGGTGTTAAAGAAATAATCACTGAAAACTCAGAAATCAAATCTAATAAATAACAAGCAACAAACAGCATTATTAGCTTATATCAATATATATATATATATATATATATAGCACTTAAACCGTTCGATTAAGGTGGAAACTGTTTCAAATTACAAACCCCTTATTACTATTTATGCAATTGAAACTACTAAAAATAACAAGTCATACCCAAAGGCATAACGAGACTCTTTCTTGCTCCATTCTTACCTCTACAACAAAATAACATTTTTGAAGTTGAAACACAGCAAACTTCGAAACTTAAACTATCACTGCCTAACATTGTAGTCACGCCTCATTAGCTGAAGTTTCATGACCATATGTTTACAATGAATATCACTGTGCAAGATCTGGATAACAACCATACATGCGACTCACAAGAGTATCTTGAATGCCTCCCTGCGTTCGCACAAAAATAGGAAATTATTACCTTGCAATAGTATCTTAAGAAATATTTACACTCGTTCAAGCAGGAAAAGCATGAGCCTAGTGATCATGTCTATATATTGACAATAAGTTTAGGAAGCATCACAGACATACTTGTCATAAAGTTGATAATTCTACGAAAATAGGCAAAAGCACCATTTTCTCTCTTGCTTTCCCACTTGGCTTGTGCATCAACCAATGACATCATCCTCATTGTGTTGGTTTTGGGGTTTATTATATCTCAGTACTTGTATTATTAAAACTAATTAAACTATCATTTAATCAGCGTTAATTATGATTAATTAAGTGGTATTTTGGTCTCAAAATTGTCTCTTTTTTCTCTCTCTTTTTTTCTCATCAATCTTTCCATCCTATGTTCTTCTTTTTTCTACATCTTAAAATATAAAATGAAAATGAAATGAAAAAAAAATATGAAATAGACAAAAATGATTTGAGTCATAAATAGATTTTAAAACACAAGGATTAAATATATATTTTCTAAAACCACGATGACTAATTAATCAGTTTTGCTAAACTACATGGATTAAATGATAATTAAGTCTTGATTGCATTTCTAAGCTCTCTACTTGAACACACTTATCCATTCTTTATCCCAGCTTTGAGGCGTAAACTCGAGGGAAAGTATCGACGTTGGACAGTTTTCAAATTAGTCCTTAACTTTTAATATTGTTTATATATACCCTTGAGCTTATGCTTATTTCAGAAAATAGCTAAATATTCGGATATTCCACCATAATTATATTCTATGGCCATTTTTAGTTTATTTTATTTTTAAATGTAGAAGAAAAGTAACTAACCACCAAAAGGTATTAACTCACAGAATTTAAAAAAAAAAAAACTTGAATGTTTGTGTTTGGTGAAAAAGAAATTTATTTTACAAATTTAAGATAAATTATTTTTTATTAAATATATACTACATCTTAGAGATTTGATTTTTTTTTTCCTTACTATCACTGTGTCAAATATTAGCAAACATTAAGAAATACGCTCAATTTTTTCTCAACTTGATGAATTTTTCCTCATCCTTTTGTTTTAATCATCAATTTAGTTGCGGTCTTTAACAAGGGGAGTAAATTATAAACTTATGATAAATGAATTAATTAGTCTTTAAAAAAATTAATTATTCAATATTCATAATTTTAAGTTTCTCATAAATTAATCCTTTTCATTCTTTTTAATTTTATTTATTTAAAAAAAATAAGTAAAAAATTGATGAGAAAATATAATACTTTTTAAATGTAATATTTAATTAAATGTAGTTGATGCTGATTAAGAGACTAAATAATTATTTTTAAAAATTAGATAGACTGATTAATTTTTTTTTAATATACGGACTAATATATAATAATTTACTCTAAATGAGGGCTGATGGATCAACACAATGATATGTCTTCCGCTTTTTTTTCTTTTTTTTTTTTAAATAAAAGAAATTGCCAGGCCGGGATGTAGTTGGGACAGTTACTCCTTTTTATCTCTTTTTTGTCCACACTCTCAAGTCCTCCATCCTTTGCTTTTTAATATTATTTTCAATTTACTGGGTTTATTTAATCCCATTTATTCGTAGGAAGTTGAGTAAATTATATTTTAAATATGGCTATATTTTTTAGCAATTAATGGTTTGGTCCCTCTAAGTTTGAAAAGTTATCATTCTTAGTTCCTTAATTTACAATTTGTGATGCTTAGTGACCACATTTTCATCCATAAATGATAAAATTTTCGCATGACTACTGGTTCTTTGCCTTCAGGAAAACAATAGAACAACTAAAGAGGGAAGGATTGTCACTCTCTATTTGAAATATTAATAGAAAATCAAAATGAAATTTAAAATTTTAATATCTAGTTTTTAAGATATTAAAACTTATAATTCTTCACATACGATTAAATTAAGAAAAAACATACCTTGACCCTAATGAAACTTAAAGAGATTGATGAATCACAAGTAAATCCTTTTTAAAAAATTCTATTTCTTTAAGAAACTATATTTCTCTCTCTTAAATTTCGTTTTTTTTTTTATAATCTTTTAAAGTATATTCAATTTTTTGATGAAAATAAAATGTATATTGATAAGGTAGAAAGAAGATCCAGTTCAAAAGACATGTTACTTTTAACAATCTATTAACTTGAATTTTTATCATCAATTTTTTATAATATCTCTTCAAGTGACCAATAAGATTTTAACACTTAATTTATTAAGCCATTTAAAAGTATAGACCATTTAAAAAAAAAAATCTCACGTTAAAAAAATCCACAAGGAAGAATATGGCTTTGGTATTTTCGTAAGATTTTTTTTTTCAATCTTTGTAATCAGGTAGTTCAATTTATTTCTTGTGAAAGAGTTTGTTAAATTGTTATTTGTATTTGGCATTTTTAATGTGAATGGATTTTTTTTTTTTAACAAATACTCTAAATCTTGATTTTCACATAATTGCTACTAAATTTAAAATTTTCTGTGAATGAATTTTACGTCTTTATCTAATAACCTTTCTTTCAGTTCATAAAAGATTATCAATTCTCTATACATTATCCTATGATTGGAGGAAGTACACAAACATTTAGAAAATATCCTATAATTGTTGAAGTTGCAATCAAATTAAGCCGTTGGAATAGCTTGGGCATATCACAAACAATTTAAATTAATGCCATCTATAATTTGCTAGAAAAATAGAAAACAAAAAAAAGATCAATAAAAAATCTAAAGACTTCAAAATAACAATTTATGGTTAGGAAAAATTGATGGGAATAACAAATTGGATATTTCAAAAAAATTCAGTAAAAAAAAATTGCTTGTGATTAAATAACTATCTATAGTTAAAAAATCTGCATATTTAATTTAATTAGAAACCTAAAGCATAGAAGAGATTCATGATATTGTATAAGAATATATTGAGATATTTATTTTTTAATTTTAGAAAATCTTAAAGAGGTTATTGTAATTTTTCTTATTTAAAATACTCTATGTATCCTCAAAATATTGTCCTATTTGATTTTTCATACATATTAAAAAGTTTATTAATTATTATGACATGTCAATATTTTTGTTCATACTTTTTAAAAATATCCTTATTTTCTTCTAATTGCATTTGTATAATTCTTTTACAAAATAAACATCAATAATGAATACTTTAGATTTTGCAAACATCTCAAAAGAACCGCTCTATCTTAATTTCTCTTATTAATGGAAAGTATTCATCACAACAATATATAGATACATATATAGATATCTCTAAGACAATCTAATTTATCAAAATTTATGACCCAAGAAATTAAACTTTGTAATTCAAATTAACAAATGTAATCTAAACAAACTAATTTATCAAAAATCATTTAGGGCACATCTCAGCATCAATTGCACGATCATCATCACAACAATACAACTGTACAACGATGAAATTGTGGTTTCTTGGCTCTAGCATGCATATGATCTAGGTTAACGAATGACTTCAACTCCTCAAACTGCTTTTCTGTTACACCAGAAAACCCACCAATTCTTATATGATTTATTCTCAGGTGCTCGCTGACTTGAGGACCTTTAAACCACACAATATGCCATCAACAGTGAGACTCACACATCTTGGCACATATAACTGCATGAGAAGTATAAATTTGTCATTATATCAATTGAAAAAAAAAATCACAGAGAAATTTCAGCTATATTAGTAAATTAAATTGAATTTCTTATTTATTTTTATTTTTATTTTTAAATAATATAATGAATTTCTATAATTGTTTATTTTAAATGCCATAAAAATATTTAATTACTAATCATTATACTTTCTTTCCTATTTATTTTCATTTAGACAAATTGAAATAACCTAAGGAATTAACGAAAAACTTTGTTCTTAATCTTTATTATCAAAAGAGGATGTCGGAGAAAATAACAACATCAATAAATTTTTTAGTATTTACCATTTGCTGTTTTTTTAGAATCCTCCAATATCCAAATATTATAATCATGATTCATAAATATCATCATTAATCTATACATATATATTTATTTCAATTATAATTTGAAACACATTGTTTTAAAAACAAACTAGCTGCTTTGCATTGAAAATGTTGCTTTAAAAACAAACTAGATGATTGTTGCATTGAAAATTTTGAACAAATGCAAATGTTATGCACAATAAATTAAGAGCTAACTATTGCATGACAATTAAAAAAAAAAAAAAAACTACTATTTTCTCCCTTGCTTTCCCATTTGGCTTGTATATGAATCAACGACATCCTCATTGTATTGGTTTTGGGGGCTTATTGTATCTTAGTTCTTGTAGTATTAAAAATAATTAAACCATCATTTAACTAGTGTTAATTAAATTAATTTAGTACTATTTTGGTCCCAAAAATTGTCTTTTTTTTTCTCATCAATCTTTCCTTCCTATGTACTTCTTTTTCTTTTTCTTTTTTCTTTTTTCTACATCTTAAAATATAAAATCAAAATAAAATGATAAAGAATATGAAATAGAAAGTTATAAATAGATTTAAAACACAAGGATTAAATATATAGTTTCTAAAAACAAGATGACTAATTAATCAGTTTTGCTAAACTACTGGGATTAAATGATACTTAAGTCTTGATTGTATTTCTAAGCGCTATATTTGAAGACCAATGCCTTCTTTATCCGAGCTTTTAATTAGATGTCATCCTTATTTATGGCTTTCCCAATTGTCGTTAGTGTTTGAAAAAAAACTTCATTGGTAAATATATAATACATCTTAGAGATTTGATTTTTCTCTTACCATCACTGTTTCAAATATTAGCAAACATTAAGAAATATCCTCAAATTTTTCTCAACCTGATGAATTGTTCCTCGTCCTTTTGCTTTAATCATCAATTTAATCATGGCCATTGGTAAGGAGAGTAAATTATATATTAGTTTTTCTAGTTTTGAGAAATGAATTAATTAGTCTTTTAAAAAATTATTTAATATCTATAATTTTAAGTGTCTCATAACTTAATCCTTTTCATTCTTTTTAAATTTTTTTTTTAAGAAATAAAGAAAAAGTAAAAAAAATATATAATAAAAATTTGACGAGAACATATAATATTTTTTAAATGTAATATTTAATTAAATGTGGTCAATAACGATTTATAGACTAAATAATTATTTTTTATAATAAGATAGATTGATTAATTCCTTTTTTAAAAATAGATGGACTAATATATGATTTACTCTAAATGTCCGGCTGATGGATCAGCATACGACATGTCAATCGTTTTATTTTTTTCAACGAAATTGCCAGGCGGGCTGTAGTTGGGCCAACAAATGAGTGTGAGCTGCTTAGTTCAAGCGTGGTCCAAGAGGCCTTGCTCAATTTTCCTTTTTCACATATTTTTTTGACCTTTTATACAAAGATTCACGAAAATTAGTTACTCCTTTTTATCTCTCTTTTGGCCACACTCTCAAATCCTCCATCCTTTGCTTTTTAATCTTATTTTCAATTTATTGGGATTATTTAAGCCCATTTATTTGTAAAAAGTCAAGCAAATTATATTTTAAATATTTTTATTTCTTTTTAGTAAATAACTAGTTGATTACTAGTGTTACATTACGGATCAAATAGAATAAAATTATTTAAAGATTTTATAATATTTTAATTACAAATTTCTTTATATTTTTTGTAAAATTTTTATTTTATAAAACTATTATTTTTTAATTATTTAATATTCTAAAGTTTAATATTTATATTCTAAAGTTTCTCATAACTCAATCGTTTTCATTCTTTTTAATTTAATTTTTTTAAGAGATAAAAAAAAGTGAAAAAAAATAATGAGAAAATATAATATTTAATTAAATGCGGTCAATACTGCTTAAGAGAGTAAATAATTAGTTTCTGAAATAAGATAGACTATTAATTCGTTTTTCAAAAATAGATAGGTTAATATATAATTTACTCTAAATAAGGGCTGATGGATCCACACACGACATGTCATCCGTTTTTGTTTTTTCTAAGGAAATTGTGAGGCCGGGCTGTAGTTGGGCCAGTAAATGAGTGTGAGCTGCTTACTCCAAGCGTGGCCCAAGAGGCCTGTGCTCGATTTTCCTTTTCACATATGTTTTACATTTTAAAAAAAATGTTAACGAAAATTACTTCCTCCTTTTTATCTCTCTTTGTCCACACTCTTAAATCCTCCATCCTTTAATTTTTAATTTTATTTTCAATTTATTGGATTTATTTAAACCCATTTATTCGTAGGAAAATTATATTTTAAATATTCCTATTTTTTTTAGTAGTTGGCATTTTGTCTCTTCTGATTTCGCATAAATATTTACGACGGCTTTGACCAAAATTAAGGTTGGCTATTTTGGGTTTGGGGGTTTCTATGCTCCTAACGATGATGAACACATCCCTAGCCAGAGAGTTGAAAGAGTATGAAATAAGATAAATAATTAAATATTAAAGTTTCCTTTCAAAGGCTTCGAGACATTAGACAAATACATCACTCCGCCCGTTATAACATAAATAATTAAATAATTTAGTTAATTATAAATAGTTCCTCTAGTTTTAATAAACGAGATAATTAGCCCTCTTTTTTTAAAAATTAATTATTTAATCTCTATATTTTAAATTTGTTTTACTCTTTCTCAATATATTTTGATATTTTGTTTTAATAAATATAAAAATATGAAAGAATTGATGAGGGAAAAAAATATTTTTTGAAATAAAGTAAAATGACATTAAATGTGATTAACACTAGTTAAGAAAAAATAATTATTTTTTTAAAAAATAGAGATTAATAATTTTTTTATACAAATAGATGGACTAATTTATAATTTACTCGAATTAAATAATTTATATATGAAAAAAAAAAAAGACACTGAAGCTAGCTGGGCTCAAACAAGGCCCTCCTGCGTAAGCCTGGTCGTGGGTTTGTGTTGTTTGGTCCTTCTTCTAGGCCCAACGACCTGTCTCTCTCCCCATTTTTTCTCTGTACCCCTTTCCCTGGCGCCACTTGTTGCAATAACTTATTTTCTCTGTCTTTTCGTTACCATTAATTTCCTACTTTTTAGTCATCCTAGCTTGTTTTTTATACTTCTTTCTGTCAAAATCCAACATTTTTATACGCAGAAAAGCTATATGAAGGAGTAAAATAACTAACGTCCTTTTTATGCTAATCAATATGCTTTCTTTCAGCGAGATGGTTAAGTGCATTTTAACTTTTATGGTTTTCTTGTTCTTGTTTGGTGAACGGTAACAATAAGTGATTTGATAATGAAAAAAACATACATAATGTCAACTCATTTACAATTAAAATGGATAAAAAAAACTGAACGTAAAACCCATCAACTAAAAACAATTTATAGAATCTAGAAAGAAAAAAATAATAACACTACTGCAACAAGCTGGATCAGGGCAACCATGGATGCATTCATAGAAGTGATGAAAACTACTTAGGAATCGCAGGGAGGCAGCAAAAAGTGTTGCGAATGTCTCAAAGCATCATCCATGAATAGGTACTTTCAATCTTTTGTGTTAATCCTAGCCACACTCAACTTTCCTTTTCTGAACTTGCTATCCTCATCATCAATATTCTCACTGCAAAATTCTAACTTTATCTCAGCAACAATGTTGCTCGAAGTGACAATATTTGAGCAACATCCCCGTAATGGAATCTGCTCGGAAAATAAGTCTTCTGCCTTAGGAACAAAGCTAACCTTTTTCACTGTAAGATTACATGATATTAAATATAGCTTTCCAACCTTTTAACACAACGTTTCATGTGAGTTTTATCCTTTCTATCTCTTCTTTTTCAAACGAAGACTCAAAATCTGTATCGATAGCGAACTTACATGTCCCATAGCATGTCCCTCAAAGTCAAAAGTTCCCAAGTTCCCAGTGCACCCCACTCTTCTTCAAGAAATTTGTGCCCTGTTTTGTGCAGACAACATTTAAGCATCACAAAAGTACAAGTTTTCATCCATGAGAGGCATTAAGTACATGCGAAAATAGTTAATTGTATAGATTGTTGCAATATATATAATGTCATATGTATCAAACTTTCAAAAACAATAACTTTATAATATTTTTTTTTACATGTGATATGCAAGCAAGCAAATAAATAATTTTCAGTACAACTCAATTTTCTATTTAATGCCCATGCTAGAATATTTCAAAATTGCAGTTCAATTATAGCAAAGTAATGCATTCTAAACTTAATCCAAGATTGTAAATAATATAATGAATTTCTACAATTATTTATTTATTTCAAATGCCATAAACATATTTAATTACTAATTATGTTAATTTCATTTCCTATTTATTTTTATTTTTATTTAAACAAATTGAAATAACTTAAAGAAGTAACGAAAAACTTTGTTCTTACTCCTTATTATCAAAGAGGATGCCAAAGAAAATAACAAAATCAATATTTAATATTTACCATTTGTTTTCTTTTAGAATCCTCCAATATCTCAATATTATAATCATGATTCATAAATATCATCATCGAACTCTACCAATATATTTATTTCAATTATCATAATTTTGAAACACATTGTTTTGAAAACAAAGTAGATGCTTGTTGCATTGAAAATTTTGTTTTAAAAACAAACTAAATGCTTGTTGCATTGAAAATTTTGAACAAATGCAAACGTTATGGACAGTAAATTAAGAGGTAACTATTGCATGCCAAAAAGAAAAACACCATTTTCTCTCTTGCTTTCACACTTGGCTTGTATATCAATCAATGACATCATCACTGTATTGGTTTTGGGCTTATTATATCTTAGTCCTTGGAGTATTAAAAATAATCAAACACTCCTTTAATCAACGTTAACTATGATTAATTTATTAGTATTTTGGTCCAAAAAATTGTATTTTTTTCTCATCAATCTTTCCATACTATGTACTTTTTTTTCTACATCTTAAAACATAAAATAAAAAATAAAAATGAAAAAGAATAGGAAATAGACAAAAATAATTAAGTTATAAATGGAATTAAAAACACAAGGATTAAATATATAGTTTCTAAAATCATGATGACTAATTAATCAATTTTGCTAGACTACATGGATTAAATGATAATTAAGTCTTGCATTTCTAAGCTCTCTATTTGAAGACAAATGCGTTCTTTATCCCTGCTTTGAGACGTGAACTAGCAGTAAAAGTGTCAACGTTGGGCAGTTTTTATATTAGTCCTTAACTTTCAATGTTGTTTATGCATATCCTTGAACTTATATTCTATAGCCATTTTTGGTTTATTTTATTTTTAAATGTATCCTTAAAAAATAGATTTTGACACTAGTTAAATTCCTAAAATTCTAGTTCCGTCCCTATGATGGCTTTCTCGATTGTCATTATTGTTTGCAAAAAAGTCCATTAGTGAAGTATAGGAGTAGACAATGTACAAGAAAAGTGACTAACTACCAAAAAGTATTAACTCCCTGAATTTTTTATTTTTTTAAAACGTGAATGTTTGTGTTTGCTGCAAATTAAATCTATTTTGTGGCTTTCTCAATTTTTTTCTCAACTTGATGAATTGTTCCTCATCCTTTTGTTTTAATCATCAATTTAGTCGTGCCCATTAATGAGGGGAGTAAATTATAAACTAGCTTTTTTAGTTTTGATAAATGAATTAATTAGTCTTTTTTTATTTTAAAAACTCTATATATATATATAAGTTTCTTTCATTTCAATTTATTTTTTTTTTAAAGAAATAAAAAAAATATTAAAAAAATGATGAGAAAACATAATAATTTTTAAATGTAAAATTTGATTAAATATGGTCAATATTGATTAAGAGACTAAATAATTAGCTTTTTGAAATAAGATAGATGGATCAATTCGTTGTTTTCATTATGATTATTATTATTTTGTAATAGATAGACTGATATAATTTACTATAAATGATGGCTGATGGATCAACATACGACATGTCCTTCTTCTTTTTTCCTAAGGAAATTTAGATGTAGTTGGGCCAATAAAGGAGCGTAAGCTGCTTAGTCCAAGCGTGGCTCAAGATGCCTTAGCTCAATTTTCCTTTTTACATATTTCCTACCTTCTTAAAAAAAAGTTCACGAAAATTACTTACTCCTTTTTATCTCTCCTTTGTCCACACTCTCAAGTCCTCTATCCTTTGCTTTTTAATCTTATTTTCAATTTATGGGGTTTATTTAAGCCCATTTATTCGAAGGAAGTTGAGTAAATTATATTTTAAATATTCCTATATTTTTTTTAGCAAATAATGATTTGGTCCCTTTAAGTTTAAAAATTATTATTGGTTCCTTAATTTACAATCTGTGATGCTTAATGACCACAGTTTCATCCATAAATGATAAAATTGTTGCATGACTATAGGTTCTTTGCTTTCGGAAAAACAATAGACCAACTAAGAGAAAAGAATTGTCATATTGTGTTTAAAATATTAATAGATAACCAAAATAAAATTTAAAATTTTTAATATCTAGTTTTTTAAAATAAATAAAAATAATGATTAATAGAAAACTAAAATAAAATTTAAAATTTTTAATAGCTAGTTTTTAAAATAAATAAAAATAATGATTAAAAAAAATAATTTCATCAATTATAATGATAGTAAAAATGATATTTGTGATTATAAAAGTAGTGGTGATGTTTGAAGAGGTTGAAAAGGATATAATAACAACAGTAATAATAATAATAATATATTTTAAAAAAATTAATACCTTCACCATAGGAGGTAGCGATAACAGTAATAGTTGTTTAGTAATATTAATAATATATTTTTTAAAAAAAATTAATATTCTAAAGGAACTAAAAGAATAGGATTTGTCAACAGTAAGTGAACAGTACATTGGTTCTTTTGTTTTCATTTGTTCGGTTTTTTTTTCTGTTGGGTTGACCAGCAGCCAAGGCTTGGCTCTTGAGCATGCACCTACCAGGCCTTGGCTGCCCAGCTTAGCAGCCTTCTTTTTTTTTTTTTTTTTTTTCATATATCCAAGCCTTGGTGCCCAGGTTGGCATTCTTTCCTTCTTCTTTTTTCCCGTTTATATATATATATATATATATATATATATATATATATATATATATATATATATATATGACTTATGATTAACAAACATATTTTTAGGTTACAATGGTCATTTTGAAACATTTTTAATTTTTGATTTTATTGTAAATTTGTAATGGATAATAATTTTTTGATATAATTTTATTTCTTAATAAATTTGGTTTTTTAATATATGAATTTTAGGGTAAAATTTTACAACGTCAATGTTTTATTTTTGTTAAATATATTATTATAATTTATACAATAAATTATTTTTATATTTTTAAATAAGTGTCGTTACCCGACGCTCTGAACTGGACTCCTAAAATTAAATGCCGATGTGATTAATATTTTACAAGTTTATTTACAGAGCTTTGGAGTCGCCACCTAGTATTAAGGACCTAGGAACCTAAAAATAACACTCGGTCTAAAGATTCTATGGCAATGAGTTGGTTACACTTTTAGGAAGATAATTATTCATCCTAAAAGTGCCTTTTCCGAAGAAGGTACCACATCTTGTTTTAGTCCTAAATTTATCTCCTACATTGTTTATCTATGCCAAATTGTTTTCTAATTTTTAAACAAAAAAATTTTAAATTTTAAATTTTGAGCGTGATATCGTATTGAAACGATCGTTGGTCTCCTTCGTCGGGTGACACGTTGGTTCAAACATCGGATCCACTTTAAATCTCGATGCAACCGGTGTGTTGGAGGACACTCGATTATTAAATGATGATTTTATTTTATTTTAATTTTTTTTAAATATATATTTTTTATGATGACGGTCCCTATCGGATAGGAGACCTCGCCCCAAAACAACAATCCTTATAAAAAGGAGACTTCGCTGAGCATTTTATATATATGCATTTTTTTTGGAAACAAAACATGCATAAATAAAAATTAAATACTAAAAAAAAATTTACAAAAAATTAAATATTAACTACTAAATTAAATGTAATTGACAAAACATGCGATTATTTTAAGACTAAAAAGAAAAAAAATTAAAGACCATGAAATATTTTGAATATGAAATGCACAAACCTAAATTCTAGTGGGATATTTTATTTTTTAGTTTTTTCAATATTTTTTTCTTTCCTTTTGCTACCCCATTTTATTTATTATTTCCGTCCCTTTATTTTATTTATTTATTTTTTACCCTTTTTATACATTTTTTTAAGGCCCATTCTTTTTTTTTTTTAGCCTTTTGTTCAATGTGAGTTAGGTTTGGCCCAACTCACGTTTTTTTTTTGTTCAATGTGAGTTGGGTCTGGCCCAACTCACGTTTTTTGCCTTCTGTTCAATGTGTGTTGGGTCTGGCCCAACTCATTTTTTTTTTTACAAGAAAACCCAACTGACTAAGCCCCAAAACAAGCCCCTTTCCCTGCCTTATATTTTTTTCGATCAAAACAGGAAATCAAAATCTCCTAGCTTCTTGCCTTTTTCTAGTTCTTCACATGCTTCACTCTCTAAAATTTTTTTATTTTTCCAGATTCCAAGCTTCATCCCAAATGAATTTCTTATCTTAATATGCCATGTTCATATTCTTATTTCAATCAAATACTCAATGTAAAACATAAGCCAATAATTAACAATCATTTGGAGCGAAAATTAATGGAATCATAAAAATTATAAGTCCTGACCTGGTGGATCTTGATGATGATCGTTCAAGGCTTCGATTCCAGATGAATTGGAGATCCTTGGTTGTTTAAGGACAAGTTGACGTCAATCCAAGAACAGGAGTCTGGAGGTGAGATGTTTGAATTGGTCCCCGAATTAACCCCAGTAGTAACAGCAACATGAACACGAACCCAGAAATTCAAGAACACTTCAACACCTGCCCAGAATTCTGAAGAAGGAAAATCGAATAACCAGAAATCGTAGCCCTCACACGGGTAATGTGGATTAAGGATCATAGGAGGATTGTGAATGCACCCAAAAAAACTAAAATTGATTGAGAAAAAAATCCAATTATGGATAAAATAAAACCCAGCAACGAAGAACACCAAGAACAATTCTGCAGAAAACCCAGAAAACGCAACGAATATTTTTTCAAAAGTATTTCGATTTTCTTTTTCTCAGACCAGAATCCTCCCTCTTTATTCTTTCTCGCCCTCTTTTCTCTCAAAATTCCCTTGTTTTTCCTCCCCTTTTCTCCTCAAATTCTTACCTCTTTTATAGGTACTTCCATTCGAATTTCACTTCAACACAAACACCTTCAAACTCAGATTTTTACCTATCCTACTTGAACTCAAAATTCTGTTATTGATTTCGAATTTGATTATCTAAATAATCGAGGTAGATTAAATTCAAAGAAATCCAAAAAATGGTTAGAGGATTGGGATAAATTTTGATTAAATTTTGGAGGGAATCGAAAGTGAAATTTTGGGCTAGAGCGAACGACATGTCATTCGCTCAACTTTAGTCTCGTCATTCACTCCAAGCTTCCACTTTGGTCCTTGCAAGTCTTAATCATTTGCAATCATGCCTATTTTTTGTGCAATTTCAGTCCTGTAAAGAATAAGTTTTCCCGATTTGGTCCTCATAAATAGCAATTCAAGTACTGAATTTCTTTAATTGATTCAATTATGCCCTTGAAGGTTTTGTATATATATATTTTTTCTTTTTTCTTTTCTTCTCTTTTTGCTTTTTTCTTTTTTCTTTTTAAAGAATTCAGCTAATATAAATAATAATAAAATAAAATGAATAAAAATTAACTTAATATATATATTAATATATGTATATATATCAAAAGAGAGAGAGAGAGAGCCAAAAGTATGTTTTAGATAGTTTAACTCAATTTGTTTTTTTAAAAAAAAGAGTTAAAAAATTCACAAGTTTTATTTGCTTTTTTATATATATTTATTCAAAATTTATCGGAACCAATTTTGTTGTAGTTTTTATTTTAATCTATTGACTTCAATATATTTCTACAATTTATGTGGGTTTTTTTTGTATATTTTTCTATTTATTCTATATACTCTCAATCTGTTTAATATATATAGTGTTATTACAAATTAACTATATATAGATTCGATTTATATTAATCACAAAAAATAAAAAATTTTATTGACATTGTACCATACAAATCGTTAACCCTATGTATGTAACGGTTGTCCGTTTACGACATAGTATGGGTATCCGACCAATAGATACTAGATAGGATGATGATGTTTCATTTCATGTTGTTACCAACATGACTCATTGATTATTCCTCTGCCAGTTACTTACTCATTCACAGTGGTAATAATCCTAAATTCCTAATAATAATTAAGGTTTTAGTTATGCTTCCTATGGAGGTTTTTTAGGTGTAAAACCTTTATGGTTTTGATTATTTAATTGGTCAAACATCTCAATTAAGATAGCCAGTAAAAATCGAATTTCAGGCACTCCTTTCTTCTCTATAAACAGATTTATCAATATCGCGTGTGGTCACTAAAAAGAAAGAACATCATTCTGATCTTGGCCTTCCCTGTATACAAATTTAAAAAAATAAAATAAAAATAAATGGTCACAGCTAGCCTTGAAAAGGGGTAAAAAGTGGTTCTTTTTTGCAATATTGGCAAGAAAGTAGTTCTCTTTGAATTGTAAATAGTTGATGCAATGAATCCAACTTCAAGTACAACGGCTCCACGAGGTGATGTACTAGTAACTACTATAAGAGGTAGCTGTGGAAGAAGAGTTGTGGTGATAATGGTGTTGTAATAAAAATAATTGTGGTGTTAGATGAGGAACGGTGACGGATTAATAATAATAATAATAATCATAGTATTTTTTTTCTTTTGAACTTTTTTATCACCACCAATGGTGGTAGAAACGATGATAGAATTAGCTAATACATAATAAGTAAAAATAATATGTCATTATTTTTTAATAAAAAAAATTAATTTATTTTTTTTATTTTTATTTCCACCTCCTCTTATGAAAATAAAATTATATTTAATTTTTATTTTTTATTTTCATTCTTATTTTATTTTTTCAACTAAACACCTAAATAAAAATTTCATTGTATTTTCATAATTTAATTTTTTGTTACCAAACAACGTAAAACTATAATATGAGAATAGTTAGAATGACGTTAAGATGGTGTTCATAGCATTAATTTTTCCTTTAAAAAAAAATTAGATGATAAATGCTATTATTGCTCATGTTAACATCTTGGATTCAAATTCAAATGGAGTTCATGGAATAAAAAAAATTCTTATGAACAAACTAGTTGGAAAATAGATGTCTTCGTATAAAACTCGATCGAGAAAAAAAGAAAAAGAAATTGAAACTTTTGAATGATGATAATTTTAATTTTACAAAACTTTATATGGGTCAATGTAATTTATCCAAATTAAAATAATATGATTACCTTTTCCTAATTAGTAACGTAAAACTGAAATTCCTCTGGTTTTTGTTCTTCAAATAGACCACAAAAACAGAGTAATTTGTAATTGAAATACAAGCTTCGTCTATTGATTCAAAAGGGTACCATTAATAGGAGATTGTTCAAAATCTGCATTTGACTTGTCCTCAGATCGAGAAATTTTCTTCTTTGGATTGTTTCAACCTCGAAAGTGCTAGAAAACCAAGAAGGCTAAGGTTCAGGTTATGAACAAACGTGTTTCAGATATCATATATCATATGAAGAAACTCGAAATTAATGTCACTAATCTTCAAATTCTAAATTCTCATCTGGGATTTGGAACGCGAGATTGAGTTAGCTGCTTCTACAAATCTTTAGGTTTTGAAGTTGAAGTGTTCTACCGTTACAGAAAGAGAATATGAAGATGTTATTTCTAATCTTCCCGACCTTTAGATTTTGGTATTCGCTGCTCTCCATTGAAAAAAATAAAAATAAAAAAAATCAGCACTTCATATGGGCAACTTGAACCCCTCAAAAGAAACTATCACAAGCTGTCATTCATACTCCAAGTTTACGGAAAGTTCGGTGTTTGGTGGACAGTGCAAGTTTACAGAAAGTTAGAATTAAGTTATTTGATCATGATCTCTTTTCTTATATGACTACTGTAAATTGGGGGAACATCTTGTAAATTTCAACTTGTAGGAAGTTGAGCAAATTGTATTTTAAATATTCCTATTTCCTTTTAGTAAACAACTAGTGGATCACCCACACTACATTACGAATTACGAATTGAGTAAAATAAAATTATTTTAAAATTTTATTATTTATTTTATAATTATAATTTTTTTATTTAATTGTATTTTTAGTAAATTTTTTATTTTAAAAAACATGATTTATGTGTGTATATGTGCACGAGCTAAATTTTTTAAAACAATAACTTCATGGTTTTTCTTTTCTTATTGGATGCACAACCAAACAAAAAAATAATTTTTTTTTAGAACACAACTTTCTATTTTCTATTTAATATACATGTTATTGTTAACGAAACTGAAGTGTCAAAATCACAGTTTAATAATAACAAAGCTACATGTTTAAATTTAATCAAAAAATTTAAAAAATACAGTCAATTTTAACTATTATTTATCTTAAATGCCATAAAAATATTTAATTATTAATTATTACAATTTCATTCCTTATTTATTTTTATTTGAAATTATTGAAATGAGTTAAGAAAGTGATCAAACATTTTGTTCTTACTTCCTATTATCCAAAAACAACAACAACAACCACAGCGAACTATTGAAAAAATCAATAAAATATTTTGCAATTTTTTTTCTCAGAATTCTCCAATATCTAAATATTATAATCGGGATTCATAGATATCATCATTAAACTCTACTAATATACTCACTTCAATTATAATAAATTTGAAGCACATTGTTTCAAAAACAAAATACATGTGTGCTGCATTGACAAGTTTGACAAATGCAAATATTATGGACAATAAATTATGAGGTAACTATTGAAAAAAAAATATATATATATATATATATATATATATATATATATATATATATATATATATATATATATATATATATATATATATATATATATATATATATACAGTTGTTATAAAAGAAATAGAAATAATAGGAGAATTAAAGAAAAGGATGACAAAAAAATGAAATCACTATAATGTGAATATAAGCGATAAGAACTTCAAAGTTTATCTTATTCTCTTTAGGAAACTTGTACACCAACTAATGAACAAATCAAGCCTATTTATAAATTTCAAAATTGAGGAGAGAATTAGAAGGGACTATGAATAATCAATTACATCACTCTTTCAATTTCTCATATTGAATGATGAATTGAATCATATTAATAATCATGAATAGTGAGGATATGAAAAGTAAATGAACATGATGATGGATATTCATTATTTCATAACAACAACAACATTTTCTCCCTTGCTTTTTCCTAGATTCCTCCTATATTGGATTGTATTGGTTGGAGCTTGCTGTATCTTAGTCCTCGTGGTATTAAAAACAATTAAATAATCCTTTCACAAGTGTTAATAATGGTTAACTTAATAGTATTTTGATCCAAAAAAATTATCTTTCTTTTTTTCTCATCGATCTTTCCATCCTATATACGTTTTCTTTTTCTTTTTCTATATTTTAAAATAGAAAATCAAAATAAAATGAAAAAGAATATAAAATAGATGAAAATAATTAAGTTATAAATGGATTTAAAGACACAAGGATTAAATCATAATTAACTCTATGTTTAAATTGATTGTATTTCTAAGCTCTTTATTCCTAACCATATGAGAGATTGATTTTAAGTGCTAATATGGGCATTGTAATGCTGATCTGGTTATTTGAAAGCAAACGCCTTCTTTGTCCGAGCTTTGAGATGTAGCAAAAGTGTTAACATTGGAAAATTT